CTAATTTTCAATTTTTTAGATGTGACTCTAAGCATAACTTACTGAATGACAGCAGAAATGTACAGGGCAAGCTCTATGCACAGATCTCCATGACAAACTGCTTTGCTTCTCTTTATAGCTGGAAAAATAGAATTACCCATGTTGCTTCTTTCTGTGTCTTATGCTTCAAGTTCTTAGAGTCAACTTTCCTGATCAAAATCCAATTATAGACAAAGGTGCCTTTCAAAACAATTTGTTACAGCTGAGTGGAATTTCCAAAAGTAAGGTTAGAAAACTATCGGCACAAGCATGAGAACAGCTTTAGATTCAAATTGTATTTAGATCCCTTTTCAGCTTTTCAAATGATCTGTAAGTATAAAGACGTTGACTTCTCAGATTTAGAAAGTTTTAATCCCTGTCTTTGGCACTGTTCATAGTCACTACAACAAGGAAGTGTGCTTTGGGATTCTTAAGTCATAGAAATCTAAAAAGAAAACCGTGCATTGGCTATTGGTGGCTGTCTGGAAAGTATTTAAGTAAAATTAAATGAAAACAAAAGTGCAATGTCTACTAAAATTGTACTGCAGCAGCAGTATTTTTACTTGAAAAGAATGAGTAACTTTCCAGAAGAAATTTAAATGGAACAATCTGGTAGAAGTTGTACATTAAAAATGATGGGTGGGGAGCTTTGGATTCATAGAGAAAAATATGATTCAAGGCAGACATAGACATTAAGATAATGTCAGAAATATCTTAAATCAAATATTTATTTATTTATATCTCATCTTTATTATTTTTTATAAATAACTCAAGGCAGTTAACATACCTAATTAACTCTTTTTTCTTCTATTTTCCACCCAACAAACTATGAGGTGAATTGCGCTAAGAGAGAGGGCGTGCCATAAAGTCACCCAGTCGCTTTCATCCCTAAACTAAGAGTAGAACTCACAGTCTCTTGGTTATCCAGAGTCAGTCACCTGCTCTAGAAGGTAGCCACACAAACCCGAGAGAAATAAGCAGTTGCATTAAGGTGTTCCTGAGAAATACTTTTATGTGCAACTGCATATATTCTAAACCACATTTTGTCCTTTATAGTTACTTCTGTGAATAACCTTATTAAGTAACTATATTAAATATGTATAAGACTTGACACATGGCTGTTCTGACCCAGGCTTCCTTAGAAAGCAAGAAACAAAACCTTTGTCCCGACAAAACCTCTTTTATTTATGACTGTGAATTCCTTTCATTCACATCAGCAAGGCTTTAGGAAACAGTCTTTCAGAGGAATGTTTATCTACACACACCTTATCTCGTTTAGAGCACTGCCAGATAACTAGTTTCCAAACAGGGCAAAGCAAAACTTGACAAAGAGTCTCTTATAATCACAAACCGAACTTTCTGGACCAAATGAAACAAATTGTTTCCTGCAAAAACCACTCCCCATTCATATCTTTTTTGTTTCCTCTGGGAGGGGCCAATTACCTCCAAGGTGTGGCTTTACTCTCAAGTCAAACCTGCTTTCTTAATTTTTCTTGTCTTCTGGCAGCTCTGTGCATGTGCACACTGGGAATAGGCTCCAGCTGTTCTTCTGCCTCACTGATGTCTAACTCCCTCTCTGCCTCCGACGCAGAGCCCTTGTCTGAGCTTTCCTCAATCCCCAGGATTGGCACATGTTCCTCCCCAACCTCCTCACTGTCTGACTCTGCTCCCAGCTCTGCTGGCCGCTGCCAGGCCACAACAAGGGCAAACACTATCAAGATTGCGACTGCAAGTTATATGCATTTCCCCCCGTTGAGCTGCAGTTCTTGTTCCTCCAATTTTTTGGAGCTGACCTTAATTTCAATTTTCTGTGTATATGTAATTTTTTTTAAAAAGTAAATTCGAGTTTAGTAATGGTAGGGTTTTTTTTCATGGGTACACAAGAAAAAAACCATTTAAGCTTGTTAAACAGCCAACTGAGAGGAGCTAAATTATTGCACAGTGGAGCTTTAATTAGGAAAAGGGGTGTCTTTCAGGGAGCCACATTTACAACTTTTAATTGTGGAACTAAACGCAATATTCACATACACACTATACTGTATATTACAGTACATGTGTTTAATGTTTTACTATTAATTTTCAACTAATGGTAAATCCAAAAATGATACTCAGGAGTGGTATGAAAGCAGTTCAGTAGCTGAATGTAGTAATTCTGCATTGTTTTCTTAGAAGAAGTCTGGATTGAACCTTTCCAGTTCCATAAACCTGAAACTGGCTTGTATAATTGTTCACCCTGTTTTTTCAGTCATGGTAAGGAGTGTTCAGCAAAAAATGAAATCTGGTCTTAAAACCCAGTTAGGCTACCCCCAGCTGTTTGCAGCTAATAAGACTTCATTTCCATATACTAGTAAGTACCCTTTTGCTTCATAGTCCAAAAAAAAAGTTATATTATTGAATCCTTCAAAATCAAACTATCTTTTAAGGAGAGGGAAATTCACTGGAGGAACGCACTAGAACTGTTCCAGTCTAAGTGTCTTAATCTCTCCAAATTGCAAATAATAAAATAATCCAAAAAGGTAGCTAAAATATAAGGCTTAGTCAAGTGTAGTCTTGGTAAAAGGCCATTTTCGAAGTTGGAGCTTTGTAAATGTAAATCTTTTCTCTCAGCCACTCCAATCATAAACCTTCTGTAAAAATGACTGCGTCCATGGTCTACTCATAAGGAGAGGCTGTCTGGAGTCACTTAAGTATCAATAATTTCCCCTTTATTCTGGAGAGATTACATTGACTCAGATCCAGCATCTGGCAGTGATTCTGTTCACAAAGCTGTTTTGCTAGCTAACAAAATCCATCAAGGCATCCACTCGCCATGGAACATACAGGAAGTGTTGATATAATCAAGATTTAGTTGTGGGAACAAAGATTAATATTAGGTAACAAAGGATGAGTGTTATACCAGCAATGATGCTTTGGAATCTCACATTTCTTGTACACCTAGGAAGCTTCCTTTTTAGAGATACATGTGTCAGGTATTGTCTTCAAGAAGACATCTTATTGGAAACCTGTGTTCCAGCTTTTAAAATTTTAGCTCCTGTTGTAATTTTGCATGATTCGGTGCTAATAATCTCGTATAGCAATGGGGATTGGCTTAAATTCCTATATCACTGGATCCTGTGGCGATAATAGCTGTCAAAGGGATTCCGTCTGACTCAGAATGGCTTGTGTCATATAACATACAGTATATTATTACACTTAGGACTATTCCTATAGTAGTTCAATGACATTTGTGATGTTAATTGCACTTTGGAAACATGCAAGTAATAACAGAATTGTGGCTTTTCAGCTGTGGAAGTGGAGAAATAGAAGTTCAACCCTTTCTTCCTGCTGTGATAATGACAGATATCCCACAAAATATTCTCTTTGGAACAAAGAAAGGTGCTTTTAGTGAGAAGGACATTTTGGCGGGGTCATATTTGCCCTTACAATTGCAATTTTGGTACTAAAAATGTTCATTGGTACAAGTAATACATGTCCCCTACAATTTTGATGACATTTATATATGTCAGTTGCAATAAGTGTTGACAATTGCAGGCAGTTGCAGTCTGTAAAAAGTTATCTATCCAACTCATAATATAGTATATTGTAATCATTATATTTAAAATGTTCCTTTATATCGATAGGCAATTTTTTGCTTATCTTCAGTCAGCGTAATTACTAGAGTTGTGAGAATACTGATATATTTTGGGTTATTCTTTGTTCTTTTCAAAAAACTTCTCCAATTCTCAAGATAGGAATTCTTCCTCATATCGAACCCAACTTTAGCAGAGATTGAGCAATGTGAACTTATAAAAGCAGGCAAGTTCGTCTCATAATATCACCACTTTATGTTGTTTGTCTTAAACACCAGACATTAAGAAGATGAATTTCTAATAAGAACCTAAATAAAACATTGTTTTATTTATTGTTAATGTAAACTTTCTTGACATGGATACTTTAAAAATGTGCATGTTTTACACATAATATCAGGCACACAATTTAATGTATTAAAAATTTAAGGACCTCCAATTATGATGTTTGAAACATCTAATGGGTTTAACAGAGCAGGGATGCTGAAGTGAAGACCTTAGGAGACAGGGAAAACACACACACACACACACACACACACACACACACACACACACACACACACTATGTATTCATAGTCACCCAGAGCTATGGAATAGAGTCATACTTTGCTGAAAATACATTATCTCCAGACAAATAGCTAAAACAATTTAAGTGGTTTGCCATCTTGCTGAACCTTTCCCCTAGCTGCCCTGGAGGTCTACTGGACCGACAGCCAACTGTCATGCTAAAGGTTTCAGTTACAATGGAGCGATTAATCTCAGGCTATCTTTACCGCTTCAACCCATAAGCAATGAAGAGAGGATGCCTGGGCTCTCCGAGTGAAAAGGGAGGGATATATAGCCGTTCCTAATTGCTCACCCTGAAGGGCATTTATCATCCTGGAGGGACTTGCCATCTGTCCTTGTTAACATTTGTTTCCTGTAACAGTTAGCAAATTCAAAGGTGTCAAAAGATAAAAGAGGTAGAGATCAACACTTAGTGGATTTAACAATTAATTCAAGAATTGTTACTGGATCAGTGACTTGACCCAGAATTTAATAGTGCTGCCTTGAGGTCAGGAGCATGGAATGGGCTAAAGAGTTCATTCCAAAGAGCATCTAATTATTTTTTTAAAAAACGTGATATCCTTTTTTCTATTCTGACGGTAACCCACAAATGCATTTTTTTAAAAAGAAAAGTGACATGATTTGAGGGCTATGGTTTCTTCTATAGCTCCAAGCAACTTGAAAGTAATTGATGTCTCTGCTGCTGCCACTGCTGTGGTGGATTTTACTTTTATTCCAGTTGTTTTCATCTCTTTTCCTTTAGGTGTAAATTTGCTTTAAATCAAGGGGAAAAGCAGAAAGTCTCAAAGAGCATAAGGAGCTGTAATCCTAAATCTTATTGTAATACTGCTCTTTCTATTCCTACAGATTAAAGATCGGATATAACTTAAAAGAAGCAGCATTCTAATCACTACATATTGGACGTGGGTCTCCTTTGACATCAGAAAGTAAAAATGAGGTTGTCATGGGAACTGCTCGTACTGCAATCGTTCATGTTGTGCCTTGCAGGTAATGTGTCATTTTTAAAAACTTTTCCCCCCCCCTCTCATTTATTTCTGATTTTTAAATGCCACTGTAATATTACACATTCATTCCAAAGGCCACTGTGCTTCCTATGTGAATGATACAACCGCAACAATAGGTGTCTTCCTGGCCTGCAGTTAACTAAAATGGTTGAATGGATTCCACAATGCTTTTAACTTCTTCTTTTATTTTACTGCTAGTGTTTTCCATGCTTAGGTTCAAGGTGCTTCAAAGTTCAACCATTCCATTCAGTTGTGTGTGTGTGTGTGTATGTGTGTATGTGTGTGTAAATTTAGAGTGGTTTGTTGACAGCAACTATTTTCTCTGTCTCCCATGCTAAAGACTCCAACTATAAGAAAGCACTTTTTAAAAAACACTAGAGTTTGACTGATTTTTATTATGTCTGATTGTGAATAGTATAACTACAAAGTGAATAATAAAATACAGAAATGGTATCCCTGATCCTTGTTTTCTATTAATTTGGAGACTTTGATATATTTTTTTCTCTTTCTCAGCCTTCATCTCCCTTTTTGTATAAAGCTTCCCTGTACCTGCATGCATTTGATGGACACAAGGATTTATTAAAATTTTAATATGCGGTGTGTAGTTTTTACATAATGAGGGGTGAGATTTGTAGGGTGGTCAGAAATGTTGATCCTTTAAGCTGCACTGAGTTTTTAAACTTCACAAAAGCAAATCCAAACAATTTTTCTAGGGGGGGAAATGTCTGAGCTAATTGTGACAGGTATCTGCAGCAAACCAAGATTTCATTACAAAGACATTACAGACTGACAATGCAAGCTCCATCTCATACATATTTGCACAGAATATTGATGAAAAGAGCAAAACCAACCACGATTTTGCCATAGACACACACACTCACTCAATTCCCAGCTGAAATTACAAACTGCACTTAATTACAAGAGAAAAACCATGTTAGTTTATCGTGGTCAGAATGTGGCAGTGTGCAATAGTTTATGGTTTGAGAGATATATGTGCAGTGGTGGGGTGTACCGGTGCCTGCTGGGAGCACCAGGTACCGTTTTGATATGGTGCTCTGGAGGGCCCACCTACCTGCCTGCGCTCCTTACTGGTATTTGAGGTTTTCAAGGCTTCCACACATGTGCATGGAGCATATGGCGCTTGCATGATGCTCCGCCAAGCAGCTGGAGCATCATGGAGGCATTGCGGAGTGTTGCGGGCGTTAAGTACGCATGCATGCACTCATGTGGTAGACACCCAGCCCCATTGCACTGTACTGGTTGCAATGGGATCTGGAACCCACCACTGCATATGTGCTACGGGTAGTCCTCAACGTACGAACCCAATTGAACCCAAAATTTATGTTGCTAAGTGAGAAATTTGTTAAGTGAGTTTTCCCCTATTTTACAACTTGTTAAGTGAATCACTGCAGTTGTTAAATTAGTCACACAGTTGTCAAGTGAATCTGGTTTTCCCATTGGCTTTGCTTCTCAGAAGTTCACAAAAGAGTATCACATGACCCCAGGACTCTGACAACTGTCAGTTGTCATGCTTCCAAATGTCAATCACGTGATCATGAGGATGCTGCAATGGTCCCAAGTGTGAAAAATGGTCATAAGTCACTTTTTCACTGCTGTTGTATCTTCAAACTTCATTGTAACAGTGCCATTATAACTAAGTGGCCTGTTGTAAGTTGAGGACTACCTATCTAGGACATTTTTTAACTCAGCTGAGCTGAGTTAAAAGCTTCCTCATGAGTTTCCTCATGACCAATAAGTTTCCTCATGACCAATATTGGAACAGCAATGTGTTTTCCAAGATACTTCATCAATCACATCAACTTTCTTCCAAGTAGTCATATTCCTCTTTATGGAAAGCAAGCCAGTAACAAATATTTGAATGGACAGATGGCATACAACATTGATATTTGCCATAAAAACCAAAGTTTTAAAAACTGAAGCTCTGCCAAGCAGCCCTCCATAACTAACAAGTGGCTGGTTCATTGCTTATTTATCTGCAGGGGTAAGATATGGTTTACAGATTGTAAAGAGTTGTGTTCAAACTTGTATTAAGCAAAAAAAGCACATTGTGTGTGTTTCACTACTTGATACTTAGCATGTGGGAAGGCTGGGTAATCACAGCAAATTGTTTATGAAGTTTATGAAGTGATAGCTGGTTTTTTTTTTTTTTTTTTTTTTTGGTAATGTTGAATATGAGACCCATCTGAACAGTAATGACAAAGGTTTTAAAGAAGACAACCGTTAGCCAACCATTTGTCTGAAATGGTGTATAGTTTCCTGCTTGAGCAGGTTGGACTAGAAGACTTCCATAATTTCTTCCAATTCTGTTATTCTGTTCTGTTCTGAACTGGTTTTGTGCTTTTTAGTAACCTTGACTATCACTAAGTCTTGTATCTTTTTATTCTTAATGAATGTATTTTATTCTCCTTATGTACACCGAGAGCCTATGCACCAAAGACAATTCCTTGTGTGTCCAATCACACTTGGCCAATAAAGAATTCTATTCTATTCTATTCTATTCTATTCTATTCTATTCTATTTTTCTCTTTCATATTATACTTAAAAGTGCCTTTTCACATGAGCAAAATTTTAAATATATTTTCAAAATTTTAAATATATTTTAAATATATATAAGTATATATATTTTATATATACTTATGGTGCATTTGGCTTGGGGAAAGAAGTGATAGAGAAAAATAGAATAGAA